TGTTCGCATGGTCCTGAAACAACAATTTTTGGATAAAATTTCAAAACTTCAATCATTCTATATGGGGCTGGTTTTCTGGTAAACCTGTCATTATATATTAGTATACTAGCCCCAAATCAAGTTTTGATTTTGAACCGCGTGCCATATCCTCAAAACTGCGACGAAATCATTAATAATAAGAATGTAGAATAATACATAAAAGGAAAACCTTGCGATTATGTAACTGTTCGGACCAACTGATTCAAAAAAAGTCAGATTTACAGAAGTTCTTTTCTTTTAATGTTCTATATAACGTTTAAACATTGAGCATTCTGTTCTCGTCGAAACTCTTGCATCTTGAAGCAGTCTTTCATATCTGCTAAAACAATATAAACTCTATTTTGCAGGTGGGCTGAGTATCTATACCTGCCCTCTAATAAATCATCGTTCGAAAATTGAATTCCTGCTAACCGGGATTGAGCTCCTTGGTTTTGTATATCTATGGCTTCATACCCTAAGAGATTCCTATCAGGTACTAGGTGTCCAGCAATAATTTGGTCCCGCAAATGCTGATAGTCAGTATTGTTCTGTTGCGGGCAATTACTCTCGCTTATGTGACGTACAGTGAAACGTAACACTCGTACACATTATGGCTTGCGGCGTTGAGTATACCAAACGTTCTACTACCGGCTACTTCGACGCCATCCTAGATTATTATTGGGCCTTGAGGGATAGCGACTTCAGGTAAATTGAATTTTATTTCCTTACCGTCCATAATCTATTGGGTTGTTCGGAAAGTAAGTTCGTTTTTTTTTTGTGGAAATGAAAGACAGTTTTCGTATAGTGAACAAATACTTTATTAAATTATATAGCACCTCGAGGACCGAGCTTTGCTCGTTTTTTTTGGTAAATCATGTATTTTGGAAATAAAAAAAAATAAAAAAATAAAGGAAAGGATCTGGTATAGAAAAAAAAGTAAAAAAAATAAGTGTGTGTAACCGAGGCCGTCTATTTTGGGGCCGCCCGATTACCGACCGAGCTATTATAATAATTTTTTTTTGCGGCGAAATTTACTGTCATATTCGATTGATATTTTTCTTGAAAACAGGGATAAAAGGACATTTTCTAAAAATGAAACCTAGGTAGATCGATTTCGTCCCCGAATCTACGCACATGCTAAATTTCATGAAAATCGCTGGAGCCGTTTCAGCGATTATATATATATATATATAGGGTGTGTCACTGTCGTTGTAACATTCATAGTCATACGGTTCAAAAGCTTCATTTATATTAACTTGTCTTTTGTCGGTCTGTCCTGTCAATGGTAAATTACGGACCACTTGATAGCTAATGCCGGTCATAGGTACAGGAGCGTTATGTCGGCCCGACTGATAATTATTGTTAGGCGGAATTTTAAAACCGGTTGACATATTTGAACGAGGAAAATTCCTGTCATGTCCTTGTTGGGCCCTGAATCCTAGGTCTAATTATAGGCGAAAATGAATTATAGGGCGTACATATTCTAAAACAATTTTTTTTTTTTTTTATATAAACATTGCCCTCACTTTAGGATAACATTATCCTGTGTTGTAAGGACGTTTTACAAACATGAATTGCACGAGGACAAACACCCAGATGCGAAACAACTATCTGTAGGTCGCACAAATAGTTGTCCCGTGTGGGAATCGAACCCACGACCCCCGACGCCGAAGCCGATACCTTGGCAACGGCACCACGGAGTCATCCAAATATCTATAAATCGAACTAAAACATGTGAATTACCATTAAATTCTGGCACTAACCTGAGAGCTTTCCATACAGCGTCTGTTTTTGCGCTGACATCGTGCTGGTTTGCTGACGCTTCCTTACATTTCTGCTAAATCTAAATTTATCTATAATACTGTGCCGCAGATTCGGCTTAATATCTTTATTTCTTCCTGGGAAGAAAATTTTGACTTCTAATAAGTAAACTTCTAGGAAATAATAGAGAGGATGATCTATTGCCAGGATAGGGAATAGCAACCAATAGGATTACTGCGTAACTTATATCTAGACTCACAGAAGGTTCTGCATTCTTCTTTTCATCGATGTCTGGATGATGTCTTCCTCGGTAAAAATTCTGAGAACTCCGACAACGGCTCTGCTCGTAGATTCGTAGAGATAGTCGACGCATCGTCGATACGACTATTAGGCGGATCGTTAGATAACGCGCACAACGCGACTATCCTACCGACTGCGCCAGATACGTATTCGGCCGTTGGGTAGTAGTTTTTAAAAGGTGATTTTGTCCTTTACAATATTTATTATCTGAGAAATACAAATTATTCTTAATATTAACTTATTCTAAATGAAACGACCCCCAGCTACGGCGATTGAGCGAGATCAGTTAGTCGATACAGGTTTGATTGTCGCACGATACCCGAATTTACACCGTCGGCACATGCATGGGAATAATGCATCGGTTTAAAGCGCGTTTGGCTGCATTTTTCTGCCTAATAAGCAGTCGCAGGTTGGGCGGAAAGTTAAACCGTCGGTCGCCTGATAGTTTTACCGTCCGTTCCGAATCTGCGACTGCGGAAGTAATAGATTCTCGGAGACTTGCTATCGCTCGATTTGCGTCATCGAACGTAGCTATCGTCTCGGGTAAGTTGACTAAGTTCTGGGGGTCCAAGGCCTTGAGTTTGACCTCAAGACGATGCCAGTCCACTAAGGATTTGGTCAGAGGCGCCGGCGTTCTGGCCCAGTTTACACAGGGCGGGCCTGTGATCTGAATCTAGTTCATGGATTATCTCTATCGACTCGATGTCGAGCGAGACCTCCTTGAATAACATGATATCTAGGATACTCGGTGTCGCGTGTTGGTAGTTGTCCACCGTAGGATACCTAGTGGGAGTCACAGGAGCGGTTATGCTAAAGTTTAAATTATCGGATAAGCTAAAGAGATGCTTTCCGTTGTTATGCTGTGGATGTCCCATGAGCTGTGTTTGCAGTTTAGATCTCCTGCAATTATCACGGAAGGGCCTAAGTTGAGTAGCGTATCGAGGTCGCTTTGTAATAAGGTTTGGTTTTGTAGGCTGAGACTAGTAGAGTTTGTAGTAGAGTTTGTACTAGTATAAGCGGCCTATGGCCGATAAGCGCTAACCTACACGCGGATGCCTCAATATGGCTTAGCTCTGGAATGTCGAGCGGGCTACAGTGCAAGGACCGTTTGTAATAAATAAAACACTAGGTTTTAAGAAGGTCTCTTGCACTAGAAAAATCAATAAAAATTTCATCTAATGGCTTTTCGCTCGGTACCAGATGTGGCGGCAGCTATTTTAGCGGACAATACGGCGAGTTCCTGTCTATTGATGCGTTCTAATAAGCCGCAGATGTTGCCAATTTGGGCCAACGGGTCGTCCTTGTTTTCCGCGAAAACCGACGGTGTTAACTGCACCTGCGGCATCGGCGCCGTTTGATAAGCGGCCTGCGGCTGAGCGATTGGTCGTGAGGCCACCGGGGGCGCGACTACCTGCGCGGCCACCTGGGGTTTCGCCCAGGCTTTTACGATGGGTACGGGCACGGGAACGTATTTCACGGGCGCGGGTTTGGGCAAAGTGGTTTTCGCGGGAGTTTTTGGGGCCTTAGCGCAGCCTCTATAACTAGCCGGGTGGAAGGTAGCGTGGCAATTTACGCAGTCCGGTGGATCTGCGCAATCTTTCTGCCGCGTGCTCTCGGGCGTGCCGTGGTCACCGGTGCATTTGACGCACCTTGGGTGAGCGAAGCCATTGTTGGCCGTGTGGCCGTAGTGGTGGCAGTTGTAGCACTGTGCCACAACGCCTGATTTACGCGGGGGCTCGATGACTAAGTCATTGTGTCGACAGACCGTATTCATGTTGAAGATGGCCTTACCTTCCGGGGTAGGGTCCAGTTCAACCATGACCATGTCCATAGGGACACGGGTTCTGGGGTGCCTGAGACGTCGCACTACATGTACGGGGTATCCCTGAGTGCGGATGTCGACTTTAGCCTTATCGACATCCGACTCTTTGGGGACACCCTATATTACAACCCGAAGTTTACGCTCTTCGGGCAACAAGTAGGTTTGAAAACCTACCTTATTTTCGCGTAAATATTTGGTTACACGGCGGAAATCGTCTGTTATGTCCAGATATACGCATAATTTTAGACCTGGAGTCGCGGATGTTGTGGCGTTCGAACCACGAGCATACTTGATGTCACTTTGCTTTTTCATGTATAATTATTGGCGGCGGTGGCTTAATTTTTCGCTCGGAGGCGAATTCGAGTACCGATTGGGCAGCTGCGGCTGCCTTCTTGGTGGGCGTCGCGGTGGGCCGGTTAGATGGGGCGGCCTCGCATTCGGGGTCGCTATCAGTTGCGGGGCGTTTTTTGCCCTTTTTACGCCACTTTACGACGGTGAAGCCGTCGGCGTTCGCGTTGTCAGCTGGGGTCGTTTCTGGAACGCCAATCAAAGGCGTGTGTAAGCAACAGACTGGTTCATTAAATAGTAACTTAATCTACCCTCCACCACGGTAATTATAAAAATATGACAAGACGTTACATTCTCTCCCCACTTAGCTTACAATCACTATAATAAATATATTTCATAAAAATCTTACTCTAAATTTTAAATATTGCGTTTAGCTCGCAGTGCTCGAGCTGATGTATGTGGTGAAGGCGACTCAGGCACAGGCGCTGGAGAGATCTGCCCGGACTGTGCCTGTGGCGCTTCCACCGCTTCCAAGGGTTCATTCAAGGTCTCATCCCTATTTGAAGCGTCCTCAAATACTTAATCTTCGGCCCCATTATCGACCTCTGTCGTATCCGATTTTAAACCACTGCTGTCCGCCGAAGGCGCGGCACTCGTACGTGACAGTGAGAATCGATTCTTAGTTGGAATAACTTGGTCAACATGTCTACGCCACTCTACACCATTTCCTAAGTCGACTTTATAAGAGACCGGTCCCGTCTTCTTAACAACTATAGCTTCAGCCCACTTGCTTCCCTTTGTTCTGTAGTCACGTGCGAGTACCGCATCCCCCACGCGAAACTCTATTAACACCGGCGGTGCGTACTACCTGCTGCTCTTGCTTAGAGCGCACTGTGGCCGTCACGTCTGGCCGCAGTGCGTACAGGCGGCTGCGCAGCCTCCTGCCCTGTAGTGCCACCGCCGGTGAGACGCCCGTCGTTGCGTGCTCACAGTTGCGATATTTCAAAAGGAATTTATTAAGAGCCGCGTTAATATCCTCGCCTTCGTACAGTGCTCTCTTTACTGTTTTTTTAATAGTTTTGACGGCATTTTCCGCCGCGCCGTTTCCCTGAGGACGATAAGGGGCCGAGGTGGCATGCTTAATACAATTACTTAAATTAGGAATAAATCGGCCGTAATAATTTAACATTCCTAGAAAACTTTTTAGTTGAGATACATTTTTAGGTGCGCACTGGAAATGGCCTCCAACTTCTCAGGATCAGGCCGCAAGCCCTCCTTGTTGATTATGAAGCCTAAGTATTTGACATTGTTTTATAAAAACTTACATTTGCTCAGTTTAACCGTCAGACCCATACGCCGTAACCGTTCGAGTACAGCTCTCAATTTTTTTATATGTTCTAACTTATTCGGACCTGTAACGCAAATATCATCTAAAAATAATACGCAACCAGGCGTACCACGCAATGTCTCCTCCATTAACTTTTGAAATTTCTCAGGAATATAAGACAAACCGTACGGTGTACGTCGATACGCAAAAGTTCCCATGTGCGTAGTGATAGCGGTGTACGGTTGCGAATCATCGGTGAGGATGCACTGTTCGTAAGCGTGCGTTAAATCAATTTTTCTAAATTTTTCTCCACCTTTAAGATTCGCAAATAGCTCTTCAATATTCGGTAGGGGATAATAATCTCTTTTCAACTTTGGATTAATCGTGATCTTGTAATCACCACAAATACGTATTTTCCCATTTTTTTTTACAACGGGGACTATCGGAGTGCCATAATCGGAATAATCCACGCGATATATTGAGCCGTCGGCCTCGAGACGTGCTAACTCCTCCTCGACCCGTGCGCGCACCGCGAGCGGCACCGGACGGGCTCGCACGTAAACCGGTTCATCGTCGGAGAGCTGTAGTCGGATGGTTCGCTTGCATGTCCCTAGTTTATCGTTAAACACTTCCGGGAACTCTTTACATAATTTGTTTACAAATTCGTCATCTATGATTTCATTGAGGTTAATTTGTTTTATTTTTCACGCATCCACTCTCGACCTGATAACGGCCGTGCCCCACCTCTAATGACATATAAGCGTAATGATTTTTCTTTTATTTTACCTAAACTGACATCAACCTCAATATAACCAAGAGACACGATCTGAGATCCCGAGTAGGAACGTAAAGCTAAATTATCACATTTAATTATTTTATGACAAAACATACTATGATACATTTTTTCGCTTATTGCAAAAATACGACTTCCGGTGTCTATCTTCAATTCGACATTCGACAATTTTATTATCGATTGATAAGTTAATAAAGTACGGTTTGTTACCTCGAGTTGCCACCTCAATGTTGTACAAGCCGTCGTCCGACTCATCACTCACATAATTATGCCGGCCCACCGGCCCACCGCGCACTTATTTACACACGGCTTTAATATGGCCCCGCTGGCCGCACTCGTCACAGTTGTAGTATTTGAACCGGCACCTGTCGGCGGCGTGTGCCTTGCCACAGCGCCAGCACGCGCGCGCGCCTGCGCCAGCCGCCGTCGTCGCGCCCCCTGCTCCGGGCGCTCGTAGTGGCCGCGCGCGCTGCCCACCTTGCCGGCCGTTGACGCCGCCGCTGCCACGCGCCACCCGTCGCCCCTGAGTCCGTCGCCAACACCTTTGTGGAGCCGCTCAGTTCCGCATGCTTTTCGGCAGCCTCTAAAGCCAACGCGAGCTCCACCGCCTCCTTATATTGGATCTTCTTCTCGGCGAAAATTCTCGATCGCATTGCGTCATTGGCTAGACCCGACACGAATTGGTCACGCAGGTTCTCCTCCAATGTAGAACATGTGTTGCATTTGCCAAAATTACACGTAGCCGCGAGATGTTTTAATGCTTGTAAATACTCCGTGAGGGATTCGCCGAGGCGCTGACGTCTCAGTCTGAATACGTGGCGCTCAGCGATTTCGGATCGCTGCGGTTCTAAGTGCTCCGTCACAAGTTTGACTAACTCCTCATACGTTTTGTTTTCCGGAAAACAAGGCGAATACAGATCACACATTAACGCATACGTTTCTTCGCCCACAACAGTTATTAACATCGGCACTTTCAATGCGTCACTTATTTCATTAAGCATAATATACTGATTTACTCGACGAATATACGCGGGCCACTGTTTCGAGCTTAAATTAAATGGTTCTATTTTTCCTATCGGCATTTTGTACAATTTATATAAGTTCGTATGCGTAAAAATGTAAAAATCCCGTACTCGTCGCCAATGGAACGTCAATCAAAGGCGTGTGTAAGCAACAGACTGGTTTATTAAATAGTAACTTAATCTACCCTCCACCATGGTAATTATAAAAATATGACAAGACGTTACAGTTTCGACTTCTATGTCCGAGCCTCCGTCCGATTGCGAGTCGGGAACGACAGCGCGGAAGGGGGCCGAAATTGGTTGCGCGGAAGGCGCGTTGGGTTCGTTCGCGGCGGCGGAAGTCGACCCGACGGGCGTTACTAGTGTCGCAGAAGGCGAATCATTACCTGGCGCAGAGGGTACCTGAGATGGCGGCGAGGCGACTGCCGGTGAAGCCGGGTTGTCGCTAGCGTAATCGACGACAAGGCGTTTCTCTGCGGCGAAGGCGAGAAAGCTGCGCCACATTTCGGGGCATTGTTCGAGAATGACTTCCTCTCTAAGAGGGAACCCATAACGGCGCTTGAGCCTTTGGGGCTTGCGCCCCGCTGGCGTGTAGTTTCTAAATAGGCCTCCCCACCTTGCGGCAGGGAGGTGTGTGCCAAAACTTAACCAAACTAACAACTAATTCGCCTGCGTTTTAGGTGCGCTAGGGTGGGTGGTGGCTAGGACCTAGCTGTCGCCTATCGCAACAAGCACACAGTTATTAAATAAAACAATGCCGCCTATGAGGTTTAGCGCAAAAAAAAACGAAACTTTAGCTATTATTTGCAGAGAAAATACGAATTAAAATCACTGCGTCGAAAGAATCACTATAGGGTCCGGCGCGTTTTACTGTTCTATAGTTTTAGTGGTTATGTAATTATTCTTAACATCTTTAACATATACAGTTGGGCCTGCATTTCTTGTAAACCTCGTTGCTTAGTGATTTATAATAATTCTCAAAATGTTTATCGCATAATTTATCTTACAGAGTGAAGCCTTTTCAACAACAGACAACTGTATGCAATTTCACCTATATGCATATAATTTGTCTTGCCATAGGGTTAATTCTGTTCATCATCATTAGGGGGACGAGTGCGGCAGGCGGTCGTGCAGCGCTTTTATAGCGCCCGCCTTGTTGCTTGGTTGGTGCTTCTCGCTCGCGCGGACGTGCAACTTCAATTCAAATGTTTATTGCCGTGATGACCTTTGCTCGCTATTATAACTGTAGTAAAAACAGAGTATTAGACAAATTTGCGTGGGCTCCATTTTGTATAATTGCTATTTAGTGACTGATAATAATTTTATAAAATGATCATTTTCTTTGACCAATGAATGAATTTTCGCAGGTCAAGTTCCGTCATAAATGTTAAATATTTTATTTTGACATAATTTGGTCTTGCCGCTCGACGGTGCTTGACATCACCTATATGCCAGTGTGACAACTTTTAATATAAAAGGGAGCAGTAATTACAATAGGCTACATCTCTTTATCATAAGATCTACACTTTATGACTTACTGATAATTATTTTGCTTTTGTTTTTTGGCCTTTGTTTTGTCGGCGTTGGGTAAAACCCAAAAGCGGGTTTTTATTTGGCAGATTTGTTGGCAGTATGAAAATTCTCGTTCTAGGCGTGTTATTCAAGAATAGAGTCAAATAAGAAGACATTATTTTTTCATAGGCCTATATTTAGACAGTTAAATTATTATTAATCTCAAGTCAGTTGTTTTTACAAATACAAATTGAATGATAATGAAAAACTGCAAATGTGTATAAATAAAAAAGTGGATTTCGGTTATAATGACGTTGGAGGGATCATACGCTGTAAGGTGTATTCCATTTTCATAATTTCTTCAATATTCAAATGATTGTTGCCTTCACCAAACAAACAGTACTTTTTTAGCGTTGTTATAGCGCTTATCTGATTCATAAGTTCAACTTTGTACACGTGTTAAGGCCTACCTACAACCAAAGCAAGCACATCTGGCATTCTGTAAATGTAAACAAAGGATAAGAAAGGTTAATAGTTTTATGAATGAGTCTTTGTGCATTTACAGACTCAGTAGCAATATGTGTATGTCATGGAATTTCTAGGAATCTGTCATAAATGGTTCATAACAACAGTCGCTATGACGGAAATCCATGCTATATCCGAAATTGCTATTGCCGAATGAATTTCCTACGAAAGTATGCTTTAAATTCAAGGGACGTAAGTCTGACGTCGCTATAACCGAAAACTTTCTCGGTCAGTACATGATTTTCTGTTAATTTTGGAATCATTCGTATACCGTTTATAGCCTGGGTTTTCTTTATGTAGTAGAACCAAGTGCTGCCATTTAGCAATGCATATTTTACCATTTGAATGGTATTCCAAATTTTTAGTTAATAAATTGTTCCTTAAACATTTCAATAGATGTGGAGGGTCATACAACGGTATGACTTCATGATTATTGATAAATACAATATTTTCTTTGGGTTTTTGTCCAGTTCTTATATAGTAACCACGGGTCTCTTGTAACATTAATTTTAATGGTTTGCCTATCATTTGCATCTTGATCGCATACGGTAGCCACAATAATTATCCCTGCTCCTTGTAATTCTGTAACTATTTCCTTTATTTGTTTGGCAATTTGCTGAAGACTTATGGCTGCTACGGAAAAACAGTATGCTATAGCTTGTTTGTAGTTTTTGATAAGACACCTTATCATGAACAATTGGGCGTGTCTGCGATTTCCATCGTAGTATCTTGACCATCTTCAAATTATTTGTTTGGCAATTTGCTGAAAACTTGTGGCTGCTGCGTAAAAAGAGTATGCTATAGCTTATTTGTAGTTTTTGATAAGACTCCTTATCATGAACAATTGGGCGTGGTCTGCGAATTCCATTAACATTTTTAGTTGATCAAATATTTTTTAGTTTATACCTGGTTTTAAATCAGCTTGGCTTATTAATTTAACCAGGATTTGTGATGATGGAAGCACAAACATTTTTCTCAAACATTTATATAACTTTGGTGCTTATTTGAAGATAGACAAAGCCAGGATTTTTTTCCTGCAAGGAAAATCTTCTGCCTCTATTTTTCTTTTTTACTTCCTTGAACTGCATCAATGTAATTATTTTGGCAGTGTTGGGCATTCTTTCAATAGTTGCCAATAGTGCTGGGTTAGATGTTACGTTTTTGGCCGCCTTTAGACTGGCAGATTGCCGTTTTATTTTGTTGCGAAATTTACTCAGTTTTATCTGAATTTTAATTAATCTCTGCCGTAATTTCTGCTCGTCTAATGATATTATTACATGCTTTTTTATTGCTTTAGTGACCATAGAAATTTTGTGGCAGCCTAATGAAATAATGCCTAATGAAGCCGGAATATATATAAATCATCATACATCTTGGTAATGAGTTTTAATAAAAGCATTCACAGTGTGCTATAAAGCATAACAACAAAAAAGCCATTACCTTGAATTTTTTGGGAACATTTCCTAGATGCTGCTAGTTGTGTCATGATGACCTTGTTTTCTTTCATAGTGTTATCTTTGTGTGGATCATTATTTGCCCTTTCCGAAGTTGAATCTATGAATATGAATGAAAATATGAAAGTCCATAATTAATTTACATCTTATTAAGTTATTACAATATTCTACTTTTTATCATAAAATATATTTTGTTGATAATCATATCAGCGAGTTAAATTATTTGTTTGGGTAATGAGACAGGAATCCTATTTTCATGACCGAGCCACTAATCTTACTCTATTTTAAAATAAGCTTTTTAGAAAGTTTATTGGCTATTATCTTCACGTATATCTGAGTAAGTGAGACAACATAATGCCTCAAGATCAGGATTTAAGTGCCGTGCTTTTGAAATATTGCGTTAGTTTTTATTAGTTAATTGTAAAGGGTGTCTCAGTAAGAGTGCAATTTTTAAAATTGGAAATTTTTTTTTCATGCAAGTGGCAACTCTAAAATTTGACAGCTGTCACCTCTGTTTATTCCGATTATTAAAAATGGAGTGCTTTTCGAAAGAACAACGCGTTATAATTGTGAAAAATCTACAAAAATGGGGAAAGTTACCATGAAACCTATCGTAAACTTCGCCAAATTTTCAGCCGAGAAAGTGCACCTAATGTGTAAACCATTCGAAGGAGTGATCAAAAAATTTGAAGAAACGGGGCCAGTTATGGATAATAAGAATCCTTTGCGTCAACGTACCGGTCGATCTCTTAAAAACATTGCTGCTGTAAACGAGAGTGTCGCCGAAAACCCGAAAACATCACTTCGACATCGTTCTCAACAACTTCAAATTTCACGAAGCACTACGCAACGAATTTTGACTAAAGACCTCTACCTTCATGCAAATTGCCAAATACACATTTGCTTGTGTTTATAAGTACTCCGTATTTTGCTAGTCTTTTAAAAAGTTGCCTAAGATGTTGCTGGTGTTGAGACTGTCTCTGCTGAATACTAATATGTCGTCCAGATACACATAGCAAAAATCTAGTCCTCGGAGAACCTCATCCATGAAACGCTGGAAGGTTTGTGCAGCGTTGCGAAGTTTGAAAGAGATGAACGGGAACTCGTACAGTCCGAATGGTGTCGTTATTGCAGTTTTTGCTATGTCTTCCTCGAAAATCAGTATTTGGTTATAAGCCTTAACTAGGTCACACGTGGAATATATGGTGCTACCTACCAGCTGTTGCGAGAAGTCCTGTATATTCCGTACTGGGTATCTATCCGGAACAGTGCGTGCGTTAAGTGCCCTGTAATCTCCACACGGTCGCCAGCCATCGTTCTTCTTGCGCGCCAGGTGTAGGGGTGAAGACCAAGCACTCTCTGATCTGCGTGCCGTGCCATTTTGCAGCATTTCTTCAAACTCCCTCTTTGCGA